CTCTCGAGGTCCCTTCCAGTCCTAGAATCTATGAATCTATGAATCTAGACCAGACTACTGAGGAACACAAAAAGAGAGAGGGAAGGTGAAGGAAAGATCTACTGAAGGTTATGCTGAAGGAGTAAACAGCAAGGTAGAAGAGAACCAGGTAAGGACGCAGTCACAAAGCCCAAGAAAGAAAGACAGATGAAGAAGCGGTTGATGGTGTAGCAGAAAGATCAAGGATAATTAATATGGAGAAGAGGACGAGTGATTCCCAGTGCAGGTGGACAGGCTCATGCTCACTCAACTCAAGTTAGCATGTGAAAATTAGAAGTGTGGATGTTATGGGGCTAGTGGCAGATAGAGCTAGTCACCCAAGTCCAAACCCGCCTGAACCCCTGGATCCAAGGTTGGCCAGCGAGCCTGAGCCACCTCCAGTGCTGCAGTGTCCACACTGCTTTTTTATAGCATGCTTGCTCCAGGTGAGCTAGCATGAGTCTGTCTACTCTAGGCTGGGAATCACACCTCCCAGTTGCAGACATATCTTGAAACTCTTTATAGAGGTCATTTACTGGCTATTGTGAGAACAGTTTCAGTGGAACAGGGATAGAAAAAGGAGAGCATTGTAAGAGAAGAATTCTAGGCACTGGGAAGAGACTGACCATTCAAGGAGCTTTAGAGATAAAGAGGAGGACAGAAATGGGGTGATCAAAAGACAATTGTGGTTGAGTGAAGATTTCTTTAGGATATGGTAAACAGCATGAAACTGATGTAGAAGGAAAGGCCAGGGGAGAAAGAGTGATTCACAAGGAAAAGGAAAGGAATGAGGAGGGGAGATTAGAAGGTGTGAAAGGGTAGGGCAGAATTGACAAGTCAAGGCAATTGATGTGGACTGAAGTTTAGAGACTTCAGAGTAGAATATAGATTTAAAAAAGGAGAAGGAGCAGATGGTAAACTCCTGTTGGATCCAGACAGTTCTTTGAGTAGGGTCCCTTCAGTTGTGCATGCACCCTTGATTGGAGATTTTTAGTAGCAATACCTGTTTGGATCATGCATGTGCTCTATACACATCCTCGTGCCCTGTACTGAGGATATGCAGAGCTACAATGGTGAACTGCCCTCAGTTCCTTCTCAACAGTCTTTGGCCTAAGATGGAGTGTCAAGCATGCCTGCTTTGCTTAGATATAGTTAATTATGATTAGCTTTTGTGTTTCTTGGCTTAGTTTAATTCATTGTACACCTCTACCCCGATATAACACTGTCCTCGGGAGCCAAAAAATCTTACTGGATTATATCCGAATTCGTGTTATATCAGGTCACATTATATCGAGGTAGAGGTGTATTTAGTTTGGGGGCTTTGGTTTTGTTTTGTTTCCCCCTCTTTTTTGTTTCCTCCCTTGAGGGGTTATTCTGGGCATTAATACTTCTGGGGTGTGCTGGGATCCCCAGGCTTTAAATGATGTCTTTCCTATTAGGAAGCTATCGTGGTCAGTAACAGCTACTCTCAGTGCCTCCATTGTGAGGGAAACACCCACACATCGGCCAAGTGTACAATCTGCTCCTCCTTCAAAAGCAGATCTCATTAAAGTAGAGAAATAAAATGTAAATTGTTAATGATGAAGCTAGCCCTAAGATTGGCCTCCAATCCAGGCTCCAAGAACTCTCTTGCACACCAGTGCCCAACCTCAATTAGTGCCCCATCTGCTTCTAGATCATGGTCACCAAAAGCCACGTAGCATGACTCCCTCTGGGCCTCGGTCACCAAAACCTTGAGGGACACAGTACCTACATCGCAATCCACAGTACCAAGAGCCTCTCACAGTAAGACTCTGAGTGCTGACAAGAAGAGCAGGAATGTTAGCTCTCCTTCTAAGGCATCTGAGTCACCAATCAAAAAGAATGTTCCAGAGACTCAGGTCACAAAGGGAGTACTATTGAAGGTCCAGTTGGTTCCAGTACCTCAAGGGCTTTCTAAGGCTTCCTCTAAAAGCCACTCTGCTACTAAACTGGATTTGGTACCAAAGACTTCTTTAGCATCAGGTGGCCATGTCCATTCTAATAGACATTCCACTTCAAAGAAGTCCACACCATCAGACTATGTTGTACCTTCAGTATCTATACCAGTGTCCCAGACCGCTATATCAGTACCATCTGAGTCCGAGTCTAGATGCACATGTTCAAACCATTCAGTGTCTGACGCACCGATGCATTCTAGACAGTCCACATCTTGGTATCAACATTGGTCTCCACAGGATCTTGCTCAACTCACCCTCATGTACCCTCAGTACCATAGGAGTTCAGATATTTAAGGGATCTTTTTGTTTCAGGTGAGCCACAGTCTCTCTTACTTCCCAGTACCGTACATTTATCTGCCCCAAAATCTTCTGGGTCACCTGGGAATGAGGCTTTGCTAGAGTCTGCTGAGACTATCTGGCACACTTCAGCTACAACACCCCCTACTTGTAAATGTGCTAACAAAAATATTGTGTTCCAGCCATATGGAATTTTATATTCATAACTTTCACTGAATTGCTTGGTGGTAGAAGCGGTTAATGAGCATGGTAGTAAATTCCATATTCAATCTACCCCTTACAACAAAGACAAGAAGCAACTTGATTTCTTCGGTAATAAGAGTTACTCATCAACTTTACAATTCACAATGTCAAAATATGTCTACATTAACTACAACAAACTTGTGTCTGATGAAGTGGGTATTCACCAACGCAAAGCTTATGCTCCAATACATCTGTTAGTCTATAAGGTGCCATAGGACTCTTTGTTGCTTTTTACAGATCCAGACTAACACGGCTACCCCTCTGATACAATAAACTTAACAGCTTTATTAAACATTTACCATATTAAACCATAGAAATCACCATAAAATTATCTTTACATGTAATGTGACTTTCCAATGAAATGGTAGATGATCAGATATTTTTGGATAAGAGAATCTGCAAAAATATGGTGAAATCACTAGGTGTGATCATTGGAGCATCCACTTCATTTATTGTTGTGCTTTTTTTCTACTAGAATTCTGGAGCCAAGGTGCATTCCTTTACAACAGTACAAATTAATGAAATGTTTTGGTGGTGTCTAGCAAAAAATACTTATTGGGCTTAAAAATCAAAACTCTTTACTATGATCAGAAATGTATGTTTATATTCAAATTACTGATTTTGAGTTTAATGCATATTTATTTTTACCATAAAAATAGTTGTCTTTATTTTGAATAGGGAGGCCTACATGCAGCTGTGCGCTGGGTTTTACAGGACCAAACTGCAATCAAACAGTGTGTGATCATTTTTGTCAAAATGGAGGAACCTGCAGTGTCACTGCTGGAAATCAGCCCTATTGTCACTGCCTGACTGAGTATACTGGAGACAGATGTCAATATTGTAAGTAATACACCATGTGCCAGGGAACTCTGCAGCACATTGAAAGTTTTATAAAATTGAAATGTAAAGTGAGTAGTTGGCTGAGTGGGTTTTCCTGTTCCCCCAACCCCCAGTAAACCTCAATCCAAAGTTTGTTTGATCACAAGTACAATGAATTTGGTAGACTCAACTCACCCCACTGAACACTTAACTAGAGAAACTAACTGCAAACCCAGCAGGAACACTGGCATAAAAAGGGGCATTATAAGTCTCGATTGAGGTCTGTGGCTTTGTACATTGGCATAGGTCTAAAATTCACACATTTTTATAGTAAGAACAATAAACAGCATAAATTAATGGTTTTGATATTTCCCTCTTGTGGGTATTGTGCAAAACCAATAATTGCGGTTATAGATCTAATGCAAAAATTATTAATATATAAAAACTCTAGATCAGGGGTCGGCAACCTTTCAGAAGTGGTGTGCCGAGTCTTCAGTTATTCACTCTAATTTAAGGTTTCGCGTGCCGGTAATACATTGTAGTGATTTTAGAAGGTCTCTTTCTATAAGTCTGTAATATATAACTAAACTATTGTTGTATGTAAAGTAAATAAGGTTTTTAAAATGTTTAAGAAGCTTCATTTAAAATTAAATTAAAATGCAGAGCCCCCCGGACCGGTGGCCAGGATCCGGGCAGTGTGAGTGCCACTGAAAATCAGCTTGCGTGCCGCCTTTGGCATGGGTGCCATAGGTTGCCTACCCTTGCCGTAGATATAGGAATATAAACTGTAATTATAATTACAATATTTATTATTTTCCCAATATGTATTTATTATGGCATGGAGTATTTTCTCAATATGTATTTCTTATACATTTATGAATGGCAATGCACAGTAGAACAACTTGCTTTGCCATGTCAATAATACTACCATCCTCCCTGACACTTAGCCTGCTAGGATGTTATCTTTGACTCCTTTTCCTTAGTCCCCCATATCCAGGTTCGATCTGAATCCCTAGTACTTCTTTCTTCACAACATCTCACCATTTTTTTATGTCCACATGGCCAACCTTTTGTCCAATTATTGATAATCTTCTGTCTTGATTACTGTCATCTATTCCTGTCTACACTCCCTGATATCCACATTGGTCTATCCTACCCACTTAAACCATGATTGCCAAAGTTATCTTTCCCACATGTTGATATATCACTATCACTCCTCCCACCTTCAATTTGTAAAGATCTCTAGGCTTGAATTATGTCAGAAAATATGCAAAGAGAAGTGAGTATTTTAGAAATCCTCAAGGTATAGTTTTTAAACTAGCATGTGTGGAATTATTTCTTTTCTCAAAGGAAATACTTTTTATTTACCATCATTACCTGCTATCCATAAAAAGGAGCTCCTGTAACATTTATTGGGGCTTCATGGGAAGTTAGATGTGGTTATAGAAGATGGTTTCCTTCCTTTTTGAAAATGTATTGGGTTTCTATGTCTTAATGTATTAGAACAGTAAAAATTCTGCTGAAATGTTGTAGTATTATGTAAAGGCTGGGATGAAAGATTGGCCTACATCTGCCCTTTTATTTTTTTTAAGACGTGAATAGATTTAAAGATTTTCTGTGTGAGAATCTTACATAAATGTACTGAATGAAGTAGCTCTTCCCACTAGGGGAAAATTGATTATGCATTTTTAAATTTCCACAGAATATCTAGGTAAAGCCACCAAACATTTATGTCATCTTTAGACCCTACTAGGAGAAATCATTTTTGTTAGTGGAATTATGATGATAGCCATGCAGCTGTTTATAGCTTATCTGTGTGTTGTTCTTTTGAAATGTGTGCCCTGATAGATTCTCATTCCAATGCTTTATCAATAATAGCATTTTCAAAAAATTGCTAATAACTCTTGCTGTAAGCATTAGAACAACTTATTTCACAGCCAGCTGCAGAATTCTGGAATCGGAGATGGCATAACCTCTTAAAATTAATATAGTTTCCCCTAAATAAATAAGATTTTTGATACAGTACTGTATATAAGAGATGTAGACCTGTTTATGATGCTATGTATAGATTGTAATGACATATTTGTGGAGACAGTCGTTTGCCCTTTTTTGCCTATCCTATGAAGTAGCTAAAAATGCTGGATTTAAACAAAATCAAGGGGAAATTAGGTATTGTAAAAGTCTGGTTCACAACTCTTTACCAGATACTAAAACTGTTTTGTTTAATAGTGAATAGTCTGTCAAACAAGGGAAAGGTTAGTAGGTATCTTAAATGGGATTTGTATTGCAATAAATGGAATGTATTTCCAGTTGGGAGACTATGAAATAAATGCAAGCCTTTGAATGGAAAAACAGAAGTAATTGTGATTCTGTCCCACTTGTTATTAAATAAACTGCATGGATTCACAAATAACTATCTGCAAATACAATTGGGTATTTGAAAACAATATAGTACATAAATCATGCACAGACAGACACACAGATTAAGAAAAAATATTTACTTGAGTCTTACCCCAAACTAAACAAATTGTTTCTAGTTGAATACTTCTGCAAACATCATTTTTTTAAAGAGAATTAATTTAAATGTAAATGTAGGGGTGCTTTTTAAAAAGCATGTTTATTATCAGATTTGGATTGTCTGCTGACAATGTTTGAAATAACAGCATAATTCAAAGAGGTTTAAATGCATTAAGGCTTTTGTTTGTATAAGACTTCTTCCTTTCTTTTTTTCTTTTAAGGATCTTCCAATATTTTTAGAGTGCTTTATAATGGCCAACAGTTGTTTGATACAGATTGCACTGGTATTTGGTTTATAGTTAATAATTTAAACATATATGCAAGGTTTGTTTTTTACTTGTGTGTGATATTTGCTTGTATGGATGCTGAAACAGATTATTACAACTTCATTATAATAAAGATCAATTGCCTGTAAAGCACATTAGTTTTTGCCTTGTAATGATAAGGTGAATGGTACAAATTAACATAAAAAGAAATATGCCCATATGGACCCCAGGCCTCCAAGCAGCAAATATTGCAAAGGTGTTTTCTCACAGGAATATAAAGTTTACGTGCCCAATTTCTTTCATGCTTTTAATATTACATTCCCTTATTTGGTCTCATACTTCTTTTCTTCTGGAAGTCTAACCAAATGTACTGCCATAGGTTCTTGTTAGGGCTGATATCCTGAACCTGTGTTCTCATGTGAGATTGCCTGGTAAAATGCATTTAAGTACATGAATATAGAAGTTATGGCATTTTATAAAATATACATAGAACTCACCAGGTTACACAGCATGACATTATCCTGATGCTTACATTCCATAGGACCTAAGGTTTGTACAATCACTATAGGTCTGCATATTTGTGTTCATCTCCTTGAAAAAAATTCCTTATTTAAAATTCCTTCAGTGGCACATGTGGAATAATTAAGCTGTTCAAGTTCATCTCTTGAAACAAAGGTCTGACCCATTTAAAATATGTAAAATGAACATAGCACTCTTGCAATAATTTCATTTTCCTGAAACTGAGAAGCCTTTCCTTCAGAAAGGTTGGGTCAATTAACAGAGTTTATTATAATTCAGTCTGTAAAAAGCACCTAATTTTTGTGTTAGATAATATAATCCTCTGATATTTGTGTTTTTGTTTGCTTCAGCCTCACGGCATAGGGAGAGCTGGTATCTTGTGGATTTCATCTCCAAGTTCAGGAAATGTCTCTTTACTTTAGCTTTCAAAAGAAGACAGATTTTTTAACAATCACAATACTTAACTAAATGAACCACTAATCTATATCTTAGGATGGGACTTGGTTTTGTGTTTTGAAAGCCTCTCAGATACCACAGTGACGAGACCATAGTCTGATTAGCTAGATGGAGATGCAGACTGGCTAACTATAATTCAGCATTTCCCTCCGCACTGTGCCTTTTGCAAAGCTACATATGAATTTGATTATTTTTACAGAGGATTTTAAAATGATTACAGGTCTCTTTTTAGACAAACCCATTCTTCATGTTGTATTGCCAGATTATCATTATATTTGCTTACTCTGGTTTGGGGACTATATTGTAACTGGAATCCAACAAATTGGGTGATACTTTTCTCTAATACAGGTGGACTAGAATTTTGGCCTCAGTAAGGATGATTTGCCACTATACTCTAATACTGCAAAACAGCCCTAAACTGGCCTAAGTGTCCAGCTGTGGATTCCCAGGCTCACCACAGCCCCTACATTCCCTTTTGAACTCTGGTGTGGGTACGAGATATGTTGAGGAGTAAAGGTGTTACTGGAGCATGCTGTGCTTCAGTGATCTCTGGCTGTCACAAAGGTCCCTACAGGCTGTAATTTATGATGGAGGCCAAGCCATCTCACTATAGCCCAAGGACATGGGGAATAACAAATGTGACATGGGTCCTGCACTGAGCAGCAATACTCGACCTGTGGAACAGAACCTCTATCTCTCTAGGCTTGGTTACTTCCTCACATTGCACAATCTTATAGATAATACTGCACAGAAGATGCTGGAACAGGGGCCAGTCATACTCTGGTAGCTTTCACTATTATACATAAACATTGGAGCTTTAATGTATTTTTGCTTCAAGGTCCTCACTAAAATATTTCTATAAATAGGGAGTCTTTTTCTTAGATGCTAATACCTCTCAGGATATACTCTATTGGAAACAATTAAGGCGTTTCAGAAGAAGACTGGCATGTGCATCAAATAGGAAGAATCTACAATCTAAACTGACTGAATTTCCAGACAAAAAATTCTGAATATATAGGATATGCTACATTGCTATCTCTAGAATAATTGCAGGAACTTATAAATTCTATATATTTTAACTCCCAAATCAGGCTGAATTTGCCTGGTTTAGGCTTTTACAGTTATAATGATAATCAGGCAGGAAAAAAAGAAACATTTTGTTAGTTGACTGCCTTAAACAGAAATCTAGGGCAATCCAGATTGTTGCAGTTCAAGACTCAGAGCTCTTGCTCCAGGTAGTTTGAAAGCTTGTCGCTTTCACCAACAGAAGTTCATCCAATAAAAGATATTATGTCACCCACTTTGTTTCTCCTGGGACTACAACCCAGCAAACAGAGATGAAATTTTAAAATACCTTATATACAGGGATTCAGCCCATTCTATTGCAGCGATTGGATTTTTAGATTCTATCCACCTTTCTCAAATAGCAGGAACAATATGATTTTTTAAAGTTATTTAGTTCCTGGAGAAAAGGCTGCTATTAAAAATATTAATTCAGGAAAGCCCCTGGGCTCTGATAGCTCTTCTGTCAACTTTTGTTAAACATACAGTTTTTTGATTCACTATCCATTATGTATTCAACTATTGATGCAAATGTGGCCCATGCAATCAAAAATGGATTCTTTTGGCCAGCGGTGTCTGTTGGGTTACACCTGAGCCCTGATTGTCCTGTCTCCACATCCCACCTCTCAAGGACATAAAAAGCAGAGTGAGGGCAAGCATCGTTCATTGCCTTCTCACCACCTATGGCTGCAGGACGGATCTGTGAAAAGTGTCTCTATCTCTTATGCACTTGTGAACTTAAAACATTATTCCCTTAGATTAGTTTAGTGTTTAGAAAAAAATGTCCTATTTTAACTTTAAGTTTCCATATTCTCTTTTGTTACCTGGTACCAAGTTTCTTTAGTCCTCTTGGCTAAACAGAGATCTCTGGAGTTTAAGTATTGCCCCTCCTGTGAAGTGGCTATATGTCTCAATGATGATCGCTCCAGGTGTTTAGTTTGCCTTGTTGAGGAGCACATCACAGACAACTTTACAACTTTTCAGTTTGTCATTCATTTTCTAAAACAAACACAAACAATGAGAGAGGCTTGCCTGAAATGTTTTTCTCTGCACAAATCCATGAGGTCAGCTTCTGATCCAGGCAAAGAAGATCCACCTAGATCTGAACAATCCTCTTCCAGAAGTAATCTGGTGAGCACTGGCTCTGTGGTCAGTTCCAGGCCTTCTACCACTTCAAAGCACCCCTCTAGGTTCCTGCTTCCAAATTCTCCTCATTGGCTAATAGAGGTAGGACTTCGTACTGCTTTTCTAAAGAGCACACACATAGATTGTCATCTCAGGTACCTAGGAAGAAAAAGAGGCAAACAGCAACTCGTTCTATCTCAATTACGGGTAGCACAGGGACTGTGACAGGTCACTCTGGCACCCAAAAGGACCCAGGCTCCACACTTTGGTACTTGCTAAAGACCAGCTTCATGTGGTCACTGGCATGAACCCTGAATTACTGCCTTCAGGCCTCTCAGCACTGACATCTGGGCTTTTAGTACAGGTGCCAGTTCTTTCAGTACCAAGTTGTGATGGAATACACCCCTGTATTCACACCCTACACACTATTGTAATAATTTTTGTACAGAAATATGCCTTATTAGGTATCATTTTGAAGCTAATAACTCACTGATCAATAATCTCATGGTGAAATATATGTAGCAACATTATATGTAAAGTTATGAACATAAGCTGAAATCATGACTGAAGTATGTTTACCAGATAACTCTGGGGAGCAAGTAAACCTGTTTCTCAAAGACAAAGACAAGTTGACACTTCTAGCCAGGTGACATCAAAACTGATGGACCATCCCATATCTGTGGCTATGACTATGAGATAAGCATCATGGTTGCAATCCTTTGGGATCTCTGAGGAAGCACAGACTATAATGGAGAATCTCTCTTTCAAGGGTTCTGATCTATTTAGCAGCAAAATTGATGATACTTCACAAACATCGAAGGGCTACAGGGCCATGCTTAAGTCCTTTGGGGTGTACATTCTGCAACCTGGAAGGAGACAGGGAAAACATCAGAGCTACCCAGGCAGCTGTCTTCTTCCTCTTACTATACAGCGCACCAAAGACCACCAGAGCCACTGAGAAAGAAACAAAAATTCCACAAGTGAAGGCTCTCAGCATCTTCCTCAGCAGCAATGAGATCTACATCCCCTCAAGACAGCCAGTTTGACGGTTGTGTTGGAGCCCCGTAGGTACCCTCTTGCAGGATCTATACCCTCTCCCGGGCCTGCCTCCCCTCCACACCCACCTTTCCAGTCCCTTTGCAGGGACTCCTCTCATGACAGACTTGCAACAGGAGGTGGGATCACTTCTCATCTCTCACTGTGGTAGATGTTCCTCTTCAGTACAGGAAGAGAGGTTTTTATTTCTGTTACTTCTTAATTCCCAAGGAAAAAAGGAGGATAGTGATCAATTACAGTCTTGAGGAAACTCACTACATTCATTCATTGATTCAAGTTCTGAATGGTAGCCCTCATCTCAACAATCTCATCCATAAAACCACAAGATTGGTTTGCTGTTCTCAAACTCCAAGTCATGTATTTCCACATATTGGACCATCTAGAACACAAAAAATACCTAAGATTTCAAGTGAGGACCTCACAGTTTAAGTACAGAATCCTGCTGTTGAGTTTATTAAAAGTCGTCCAGTCCTTATGTGCCCTTTGACCAGTTCTTTACTCACCCTACACTTCTTGTACTAATCCCTTCTTCTCCAGTTTAATTGATAATTCCACATGTGGCACTATCAAATGCGTTAAAAGTCCAGATATCAGTATACCGGGATGGAAATTACTCAGTCACTGCCCCATTACCACCAATTTGAGCTCATTAAGCTCTTTGAGTTTTGCTCTCACCTCGGATGTGCTAATTCCCATTTCTTATTCACTCATTTCCATTAGCCATTATGTCTTTGCCCCGTGTTCTACATTATCATCCTTACTAAAAACTGAGGCAACATATTCATTTAGTTGTTGGGCCATATCTAGATTATCTATAATCCTCGTGGCCTGTGAGCTCCATTTCTTTTCTTGTTCTCTTTTTATTTATATGACTAAAAAACCTTTTACATTTGTTTTAGTTTCTCTTGCAAGATCTAACTCAGCTGGACTTTTGGCAATACTCACTGTATCCCTATACTTTCTGAGCTCCAAATTTAGCATTCTTTGTTGATTAATCCCTTTGGCCTTTCCTTGTAGACTCACTATATGTTGTTAATATTATTTGTGAGGTGGTTAAGCATCCTTTTGGGTCTGGAGCCCTTCCCTCCACGTTTTTTCCTCTTACTTAGGATGCAAATCCCAGATAGTTTTTGCACCTTTGACTTAAATAAATTCCAAGCCTCTTCCACATTGAACTACCTGAGCTCTTCAGTTCAGTTGACTACACTAACTAGTTCCCTTAATTTCTCAGTCCACCCCCATTGAAATAAGAAACCTTATTACTAAGCTGTTTTTTATTATCCTTCAATATAATTCAAATTGAATCAACTCATAATCACTCAGTCCAAGGTTATTTTCTTCAACTAGCTCCTCTATAACATCCTCATTACTTAGCAAAAACAAATCTAAAATAGCATCAACTTTTGTTGGTTCAATGACTGTTGGTTCAATTAGTAGTGTTTATGCTCCAATCTATATCTGGGAAGTTAAAGTCTCCCATTCTATATTGCATTTTATTAATTCAATTTAAACTGTATGTCATAACCACCAATAAAATGCATTAAGTAAATGTTGACTAGCCACAGTTGGAAAGGTATTTTAAAGCATTAAAAATAGAGACTGTCCTTTTAAGAATTAACAGTAGGCCCCAGGGTCCATTTGAGTGACACACAAATAGAAATCAATGTTAACATTAAAACAGCAAATACTCTGTAGCCAAGTGATAAAGGTCTACTTCACATTACTTGCTTCTGTTAAAAGAATATTGTGGTGGGGAGGAATTCTAGGTGGTTTAGTGTGTCAGTAATAGGGCATAGAGAGCTATTCGCAACTAGGGTCCCAGTACTGCAAACATTTAAGCAGTCGAGTAATTATATATTTCAAAACAGTGGTATCACTCAAAATGCATAAAGTTAAGTATGTGTTCAAATATTTGTAGGATCAGGGACTACGTCTGTAGAAGTCGCTGTTAGAATTTCATTATAACGTATTTTTTATTATATAAATTATATAAATTTTGATAATTAATAAAAACATTAAATTAAGATTAATGCCAATTTTAAAATATTCGGTTTCAGTAACATTAAATAGTGTTATTAACACAAATGCATATATTGTTTATCCTTACAGTGTCTCTTTAATTGAATTACTTCAGTTAACATTGCTTAGCTTTCCTTTCACTAGTTAAAGTAGGTGGGAAAATGCCATAGATGGTTAGGCTTTCAGAGGGAATAATCTGTTATCAGCCTAAATTTCTTTTTCCCTGCTCATGAATAAGTGACTGGAAGTTTATAGTAATGTTTTCATATTCTGAATCTTATTATATTTGTCAATGAGTCAACAACTTTTATGTTTGCTCATTTCTTTTTTGTTGCTATTCTTTTTTAAGGTAAAGAAACCAAAGCAATGTATTATTATTTTTAAAATAATTTTCATTAATACCTTTTAATGTTTCACTTTTACATTCTTTGCAGATGTGTGCCACCATTATTGTGTGAATTCTAAATCTTGTACCATTGCTGATGATGGAAGTGTAGAATGTGTCTGTCCTGTACAATATGAGGGTCCAAAATGCGAAGTAGACAAGTGTGTAAGATGCCATGGTGGGCACTGCATAATAAACAAGGACAGTGATGACATAATATGCAAGTAAGTGTTTTTGTTAGATTTAAAGTGATATATTATATACATAGATCAATTAATAGTTAAAATGCAATAATCAGTAAATCATTATACTTGATAGTGTACAACAGAGTTGTACCACATGAATGGTGGGTTACAAGATGGTGTAAACATGGTATCATCATTAGCTCACAAGTAACCAGGCAGAGTCCTTTGTTTTGGGTGGAATTTGAGAATCTGGGCTTTGAATATGACAGGTAGCACGGAATGATAACCTGCGCAACTTCAAGGAGAACATAACCTCAATCAAAACTAAGAACTACATTTTACTCTCATATTCTCAGTAAGCAGAAAACAAGATTGTGCCATGGAAGCAGAGGTTATATATTATTCTCATCATTTTTGAAAGTAAAGACAGACATAATTTCTTAGATTATCAGTAACCTGCACAGAAGTCCTTGCTTATGAGTATAATAAATAGAAAATATGTAATGGTGTGGGATGCCATAAAACTTTTTAATCTTTCAGGTTTGAGTAACCACATTACTCATAAGAGGAAAAAAACGCTAGAAAATTGTGTGTGTTATCCCCAATAAATGGAAATAAAACACTGTAGTGCTCCAGGCCATCACAAATTCTTTTACTACTTTGAAATATATTAATTGCTATGGAAACAATTATCACTGGCATTGCAGAGTTCAGTGATATTCACATGTGCAAGTGAAGGCAATTTCTATTTAATGGTTTGAATTTTATATCATACATTTTGAAATACAGGAGGTTGTAATATCATATCCTTATATATCATACATAAGAAAGATACGTAAGAAATAAAACACAATAGGTATCGTACATAATTATTTAGCAAGTATAGAATTCTTTGTATTGTTTTTAAGCTATAAGCCCAAGAGCTAATTATCTTTACCCACCTAAGACATGGAAGAATTGGCCTGAAAAGCATAGGTTGGTGTGTTGCTACTAAGCCCAGCATTCTTTAACTAATTGTTTAATCACAGAATCATAGAAATGTAGGACTGGACTGGACCTCAGTAGGTCCACTGAGGCAGGACTAAGCATTATCTAGACTATAGATTCATAGATTCATAGATTCATAGATTCTAGGACTGGAAGGGACCTCGAGAG